ATGCAAGAAATAATTTAAAATATATATATATACTTTAAGATTTAATTAATTTGCCTTAAAATCCCCCCCCCACCCCCCAAATAATCAGAAAATGGGGCACAAAGGGGAGGAGAGCGGCGTTGCATCTCGGCCGCTGCTATTTGGAGGATACCGTCATTTTGCTGGAGGAGGATGCTTTCGGAGGGGGGCTGTGTGCTGGGAGAGGGGACCTGGAGGTGACCCCCAGTACCCCTATTCCATCCCTCCCCACCTCTTTCTTACCCCCCACCCTGGAGAGGGCTGAGTCCGGGTGCACTCGTGACACCAGATGTGCCGTGCATCCTCCGCTGCGTGTGTGCGCGGCAGGATGGGGATGGCGACGGGGTCCGGAAGGAGGACGGGCACGTTATGAATTTCTAAACCAGCGGCTGGCTGGCAGCACAGCCTGCTCCAGTTGTGCTTTTCAGTCGCCTTGTCCCCAGGCTGGCTGGCGGTGACACTGACAGCTCGCCCCAGCGTGTTCCCAGCTTGGGGTGCAGCAGCAGGGTTGGGGGCCAGCCCAGACTCTCTGGCTCACGTTCAAGAGCCGTGTTGCACAGATACAAACAGGTCAGAGAGGCATGTTCCGTGAAACGGCGCTGCAGAAATAATGATCTCATTTCTGCCATCTATAAATAAATGAAGGTGAAAGGGCACATTTCCTACTCCCGGCTCTCCGGAGGCTGGATTAAGACCGAGAGCTGGCTGGCTGATGGACAGAGATCTTTCAAATATTAATAGATCTTAAATTATAATTTCACTGTGACTGGCATCTAAAAGGTCATGCTGCAAAATATACCACTGAGGAGTCGTAATACTAGTTATGTCGTCGTTTATGGTCAATATTTTTCTGGCTGTTGAGGATGCCAAGGGGGAGGTGGTTTCCAAGGGAAATGGCTTACTTGCATGTTTTGGGTTTTTTTTCTTACACGGTCAGTGGTGTGAGTCAGGGTTTCTGGGGACCCCATCTCAGCTGCTGAGGCCCGTCAAAGCCCCCTGTTTCTGCAGCAGGATCTTAAAATTGGTCGATGTTTCTTCTTCTTCAGTTCTTAAAAAAAAAAGTATGCCTAAATGTGCTGCTTAGCTTTCAGTTATTCAGAGTTTTTAGATCTATTGTCGGTCAGACATGGGCTGCTCTGGGAGCAGGGAGCGGGAAGTGAAATGCCGAGCACAGGCAGCAGCCCTGGTTTTGCAGCCCAGTCCTGATGCGCACAGCCCGATACAACCTTTGTGGTTGAATTTTGGCACGTCTGGTCAGTGATGATTCCTGCATTGTGAAAACCCTCCCTGGCCTTGCACGGGGCTGCCCAGCGCGTTAGCTGCCGCTCTGCCCTTCCCAGCCGAGTCCCTCTGCCTTGAGAAAGATTTTGTGCCGCAGCCCCCCAGTGTGCCCCCTCCAGGTACCCCTTGCCAGCTCTTGCCCCGTCAGAGAGGTTGGCTCTGAGACCTGCTCTGTGAGAGATGCTGATCCTGGTGAAGAGTCTCCAGGTCTCCCTGGGTAACAAACCCAGCTGCTTTCACATTTCTGGGATTGCCTTTTTTTTTTTGAACTAAATGCAGTTTTTTGATGCCTCACACTGGGGTGTGCTGCTGCATCTTACATGGGGCTTGGAAAAAATCAATATATACACCTGAGTTGCACTGTTGGGTCTTCTCCAGCCTCCTTGGTGTGACCCAACGAACTTGAAAGAGAAAAAATACCAATGCGGGTTCAAACCTTGCTCACAGTAATTTATTGTCCCTTTGTAGGGTGGCCCTGGGGACTGTCATCAACATGCTGTCCTCCGTAGCAACCCGCAGCCGCCTCCCACCTCTTGGCCCCTCTGTTTGCAGGTGATGAGGCACCTGCTTGAATTTGATGCAGGGGAGGAAGTAGGGGACAAGTGGAGACGTGGAGCCTCCCCTTAGCATCTGTCCTTGGTCCATCCATCCTGTTACCTGGGGTGGCTTGTCTGGGGGTGGTCCTCCCATGCGGGACGCAGGGGCTGCGGTGGTTAGTGCCTGCGGCTTGGCTGCCAGCATGGGAACTGGTGCTCCTGGTTCGGCATCCCGTGCCCTGCTGGGTGCGCAGCCCACTCAGCCTTATCGCCACTGTCATCACACGGCATTTATCAGACTTGCCTAACTGATGCTTGCAAGTAAATTAATGAGGTGCTTGGAGATCCTTCCAGGAAGGCAGTAGCAATGCTTGGGGCCGTTGGCTGTGACTCTTGGTCGCAGGGTGCATCAAAGTGATGGATGAGCTGTTGTCTGAAGTCTTACAGCTGTTACCACGGAGCTTGTTTTTATTTTTAAGCCCATGATGTCTCTCTCTCTAGTTGGTAACAAAGGACTGTGCCAAGGTCTGGGGCGATGCTGCCTGCTCCCATCCCCAGTGCCGGTGCGGCAGGGAGGGTGCATGTCCCCTGGGCAAAGCACCATCACAGGGGGTTGACACCGCAGGTGCTCCCACGTGGCTTTGGGGAGCCAGTGTCCCCGCAGCACTGTTGGGTGCAGGGGTGGTTTTATGGGGCTGGGGGTGCTGGGGGCCAGGGTGCAACCATGGAGCTGAGCCTGCTAGTGTTTCCCTTCCTGCTGCCTCCATCAGGGGTAACCATAGAAATTGGTGGCGATGCTCTGCCCATGGAGAAGGAGGCTTGGCCGCGCTGCGGGGCTCCCTGAGCATCCTCCCCCGCTAGGCACCCATGTCTGGCAGGGGCCCCGAGTGGAGCTTGCTGTGTGTGTATATGGCTGGCATTGGGCGCCGGGGCTCACACGGTGAGTGGTGGCTGCCATGGCCCTGCCCAAACGCTCCAGTCACAATGGGGCTGGGAGCCCCCTGGGGCACCCCTGGCCCCGCAGCCACGGCAGGGGGGCTCTCTCGGGGATTTTCTGGCTCAAAGCAGCCCCGGGTGCTCATGCGGCGTGGCTCCGCTGTTCCTGCTGCACCTCCAGCTTGAATTTCCGTGGCCAAAAGCTGCCGGCAAGTTCAGGTCAGCGTTTTCCTGCCTCTCCAGTAATTTCCTGCGGCTGTGCTACGCTTCAGCCTGACTCGCACAGGGAAGGCTCGGGGAGGGCACTGAGAGCTCTTGGAAAATTACATTTAAGACAAAGAGGAAGGGGATGGGAAGCAGCTTAGCTGGCTTTGTTCTAATAGCTGTAATCACCCAAAGCGCAACCATGAGCCCTGTTTCTCTGGGTGCCGCACAGCCCTGCCGTGTTGGGGGCTGCTGGCGTCAGCTCTCCCCGCAGCGCCGCGCTGGCTTTCACTTCATCTCCGATGGCAGCTTGCACTTTGTTCCTCCTTGGAACAAGTGCCCTTGTTTGGCTTTATTGTACAAAAGACCGTATTTACATAAACAGGGGAAAGGTTGGTCAGAAGGCAAAAATGAGCCATCTTGAAGGGAAGCTGGTGGCTTAAATACCCCAAACTCGCTGTCTTGCCTGGCTACCAAGTCTGAAAGGAGGGAAAAAAAGGAGGAGTATGATTTTAACCTTTTTTTTTCCTCTTCCAACAGCGTTTTCAGACACCGCCGCTACCCACAGAGAGCAGAACCTGTGCCGAGAGGAGGAGGGGATCTCTGCAAAGTAAGCTGTGCTTTTTAAAGGCTTTCTCCTTCTTGTTTTGCTTTGCAAGAGCAGCGGAGGTGGCAGAGGCAGTGACCCCACGCCGGGGAGTGCAGGGGCTCCCACCACCACGCGCTTTTCCCGTGCTTTCTCCTAGCTGCAGCCTTCTCTTGTTACGGGTTGCCGATGGGGATGATGGCAATTTTCTGTGCTTAATTTCTTCTCTGTTTTAGTGACATAGCGAAAGGCAGCAAGTGCTCTCAGGTGGGCTCCCGTGCAGCCCTGCTCTCACGTACACGGTTTATCTGTTGCACAAAGTGTTTATCTATGAACAAGCTGTGCAGAGATCAAAGATCTTTCTACAACATGTTAATTAAACGAGTAATGGCGTGTTGAGGCTTGAAGAAGGAAATGAGGTTTAGCTTTGTTAAGGAAGTGCCTGGTGGAAATATTTACAGTATTCCTCAAATTTCAGTTATTCCTATTTTCCCTGGGGCAAGAGAGCAAACCTGGCTGTTGCTTCAGAGGTTCTGTAAACCATTTTTCTTGGTCATGTGTAATGTGGGCGTTTGATGTGATCCAGTGTGACGGCGTTGGAGGGGGAGAGGATGTGACTGTGGCGATTCAGTTCCTGTTTCACAGCATAACATACAACACACCACATACTGCCGTGAGTCTTGCAGGAAACAGAAATAAATCTGCCTGTCCTGGCACGGAGAAATGTGGTGGTGATGATGGGGGGAGAGCAGGCACTGGAAACATCTCATTTTAGAAATGTGTGACAAAAGAGCTAGCGCTAAGGAAAGGGCAAGACATAAGTTGGTTAGCAGCGGGAATTAGAGGAGATGTGTGTGCGACGGGGTTTAATCTCTTAATGAGAAAAATATATCCTGGCTGCCTGTGGTGGGGTGAGTTCAGGGACAAGTATGGCGTTGCGTGAAAGCTCGCCCTTGCCCCCTGTGTCCTCCACCTGCTGCCCCTGAGATTTGTCCGAAGGGTGCTCGGGAGCCAGGATGGGACTTGTGATCGACAGCCAGTGCAAAATGCCCGCAGGGCAGGAGCAAGGATGTGGGGACAGGGATGAATTTGTCTCAGATAAGGGCTGGTCGCCAGAGAGCACCCTGCCAGGTTGTTTCCTTCAGTTCCCAAGCCCATTAATAGGCTCTGCTCCCTTGATTAGTTGGTGCCTGTGCGGAGCAGTAATGAGAGCCGGGCTCAAGCCATCAATTCTAGGTCAGTGGTTGTGTGCTGGGGATTTTGGGATCGGGCAGCGGGAGGGGAGCTGAAGCTGGACGCCCGCCTCTGAAAAGCAACGTGGAGCCTGTGTTAAGGCAGCCCTGCCTGCACCCATCAGGGGGGAAAGGCTGCCTGCACCCATCGCGGGGAGGGCTGTGCTTCCCCTGTCTGCAAAGTGTCCCAAGGGCCACGTCGCACCCCATTGCTCAGGACGTGGTCCGTGCCTGTTAGGAGGCTCATTGCCCATTTGAGATGTGCTCTCCTGAGAGGATAACATCATAATTAGATCCATTAAGGAGCCAGAAGAAATAATCTAGTTTTAAAACTGAAAGAGACTTTCCTGTGCTCCTGAGCAGTATCCTTTGCCTCTCGCAGAGCTGCTTTCCTCTTTCCCTGGCAGCAGAGATGTCATTTAGCATCCACTTGTCATCGTTTCTGGTGTTTAACCTCTGATCCTTCCCTAAATGTGGGCAGGTGAGGCCGGGCGGTGAACAGCAGCATGGACCTGGATGTGCTGAACATGTTTGTCATCGCCGGCGGCACCCTGGCCATCCCCATCCTGGCCTTTGTGGCCTCCTTCCTCCTCTGGCCCTCAGCGCTCATCCGCATCTACTACTGGTGAGTTCATTAGCCCGGCTGCTCTCATTTTAGCGCAGGGGTGGAATCACTGCTGGTGCCTAGCAGGTCCCTGCACCCTCGCACACACACAGGTGCACAAAGAGCTGGTGGGCAGCAAGACGATGCGGACAGAGGTGGGTGTTCCTGCCCGTGATGGTGATAGGAGCAGGTAAGGTGGGGTTTTCCAGGGGCATACCAGCTGTGTGTATGTTCAAGCATCTCTGGAAGAAGAAAATGGCATATTCTTATTGCTTTTTGGCTGCTGAGGCTTATGTCTGTTGGGGCAGCCTCAGCTGGGCTGCGGGACATCTCCGAACCTTTCTGGGTTGTTTCCCCCAAGGACGGGACTGCAGCTGGGAAAAGCATCGCCGTTGCTGCCCATCCCCCAGGCTGGCAGCCCCAGCAGGCTGGTGACCTCCTGCCTCCTCAATGCAGCTGTCGACGTGGGTGTCCTCAGCTCTGCCACGGCTCCCTGGGCTCATGTGCTCCCTCCTGGTTACCAGCCTGCTCAGCAGACAGGGACTTTTCTCTTGCTAGTAGTTACAGACGAGGCTTTTCTCATTCTCTCCCTCTCTTCTGGATTGGAGCATCAGAGAAGATGGAGTGATGCTTTTCCTTACCCCCTTGCATCTTGTCCTTTCCGATTAACAGCAGGCAGGCACTACATTCCTCAGTCCTTGTCTGTCCCTGGAAATAGTGATAAGCACACTGGCGGCTTTCCTGTCTGGGTTTGTTGCAGAGGAAAGCTGGAATAACGCTCCCTTCAGAAGTCGGGTCGGCGTCTCATCACCCTGCGCGGGCAGCAGCAGGCAGCGCGGCAGGCTGCCCTCACGTGCTGCTGGCAGATGGTGGCTCCTGCAGTTTTGCTCACGGGGTGTTTCCAAATCAAAGTGACCTCCTGTGAGAGAAGGACGTTAACCCACCCCAGCACTCAGACGCAGCAGCGTGATGAAGCCTGTTTTTCTAACGGCACATTTATTAGCAACCTTTTAATCACAGCATCTGGGGACTGACAGAGAGGAGGGGGGATGGGATGAAAACCCCAGTGACTGGATCGGCACGGGAGAGAATTTATTCCCATTGTGCATCGCCTGGGGACCTGCAAGGCCAAACGTCGCTCTGCAAAGGACAGCAGGCGGTATGACAGCCTCCTGCCCTGGGGATGTCAGGGCTGGTGCCCGGGGACAGGTCCAGTCAGTACCGGGTTTGTCAGTCAAAGGGGTTTTTTTTCCTTTGGACATACGAGCGGCTGGTGGAAGCCAGGGAGGACCCTGATGGGCTCAGGTTCAGAGGAGGATCAGCGGAGAAATGCTGCCATGCCAGAGCAGAGTGAGTGTGTTCAGGGTGAAGCCTTCAGAGGGATGTGGGCAGGGGTAGCAGGACAGGACAAAGGAGGCAGAAGGGGCTGATGCCGGGGAGCTTTGAGGAGCCAGGTTGAGCGGGAGGTAGAGAAGACCCTGCCTCCTTGTCCTTCGGGGTTGTAAATTAGGGGCTGAGTGAAAATGCACCGTGGGTAGGTCGGTCTGTGTTCGGCTGAGGGACGGAGCATGTGAGCAGAGATCAGCAGGGCTGTTTTCTTTTGAAGGGTGAGTGCCCTCATCTCTCTCTCAGTGTTTCTGGTAGCATTGGCATCTTGCAGGAGTGACTGCAATGCTCTGTGTTTCATGGGCACCTCGTTTCTTAGGGACAGCGGGCGAGAAGAGCGGGTTTGCCCTTTACTCTTCCTTTCCTATTTGCTTCTTTCCGAGTTGGCTTTTTTTGTGGCGAAATCGTTGTTTCCCCATCAGCAGAGGCAGGAGAGTGGGCAGGCAGCATGCCATGCTGCCCCCTGCTTTCAGCCCAATGCGGCTCCAGCTTTGTGGCACAGCTCCTAGGAAGTCCCCAGGAGGTCCCCGGGACGCTTCGGCAGGAGAGTGGGCAGGCAGCATGCCATGCTGCCCCCTGCTTTCAGCCCAATGCGGCTCCAGCTTTGTGGCACAGCTCCTAGGAAGTCCCCAGGAGGTCCCCAGGGACGCTTCTCCCTTCTCCCACCACTCACTGCCCCCCTCACTGCTGGTCTGCGTGTCCTCAGCCAGCGCGGCCAAGGGTCATGCAGGAGCCCCGTCACTGATGGCCTTGCTCCCTCCCCTGCAGTTAATGTGCCTTCCTGCCAGGCGTGACATCTGGGGCTGCCCCACTGACCCCGGCCGCAGAGCCTACCTGCTCTGCCTGCTCTGCTGCCAGGGGTTAATCAGTTTAGCTGCTGCTAAGTGTGTTAGCACCTTGCGAGGGATCAGTTCAGCTTTGCACAGATTATTTTGCCTTCTGCTGAATTGATCCATCAGGATCAGTTGCTAAAAATATTATCATCTTTCCCATCGGTAGTTTACACTGGTGCCTCTGAGGCGAGGACTCTTAAGACACTTATTCAGGGAGAAATTCACCTCTCCTTGTAGGACCAGCATAGAACCGAGATGCTGCTTAAGTCCCACTAACTCCCTCCAAAAAGGGATTATGCTAAAAGAGGATTGCACTATGCATAAGCTTTGAGTGGGCAGAGAGCTAGGACAGCCCAGCAGTGTTGGTGACCTGCTTTTTTGTCTCAAATAAATTCTGATATCATGTATAAAAGTATTTGCCAGTATCTTGGCCATCAGGAGTAGCCCGGTAGTTGTCCTGACAAGGGTTACGTCTGATCATAGGGGAAATGCAGAGAAAGCATGCCTGCTCCTCCACCTTGGACTGCACGTACACATCATGTGTCCAAAGTGTCACTGATAATCTCTGCCCAGGTCCCCTCTGGCTGGCAGTTTCACTGCATCCTCTTTGAGCAGGCTGCAAGCGTGCACTGGCAGCAGCTGTCTGTCTTCTTGCTTTTGGAGGAATAACCTAGGTTTCCTTGGAGTTAGCCCGGTGTCTTCTGGGGTGTTTGACCCTGTGTAAGGACAGTACTCTCCAGTCCTTCGTGTGTGTGTAAACACATTTTTAAAGATTGTCTAATTGGCATATGGGAACCGGGTTTCTGTGGTGCTCCTGGTGATGCAGGTGTTTTGGCTGGGATCGGTATGCTTGTCTGTGGGGTGATGTTATCCCATGGCTGCAGGGCTGCAAGGCTGTGCCCAAATAAACCCCTGACAGATCCACCTTACCCACCTGGAACAAGGCCTGCCTGTCCTGCATGCTGCCTTGCAATGTGTTCTACCTTTCTCTCTTGAGCCTCTCTCCTCATACCAACATTGGGGTGTTTTCAGTTTTAGAGTTGTTATTTTGGCCCATTTCCATTGCCAGATTAGTTATTTGTGGTCTTTTTTGAAGTTTTTAACAAATAGAGTGTCTCCACAAGTCATCTGCAGTGCAGCCATGAATAGCCAGCTGCCAGTACTACACATGTAAGGGATCACATGTAAGCACAGGGTCTGGTCCAGGGACCAGATGCTCAGAATTAGTCCCAGTTAGTGCCATGATGGCACCGGTGTGAGCCCAACCTAACTGGCCTTACCAAACTAGCGAATCTGCAGCTCAGTTTGGACCTGTCACCTGGCTTATATTGCCACTGGGCCCTGGTCTTGCCTCGCTCACTGGTGTTGTTTTCTCCTTCTTTCCAGGTACTGGCGCCGAGCCTTGGGTATGCAGGTTAGATATGCCAACTACGATGACTATCAGTTTTGTTATTCCTATAGAGGGAGACCTGGATACCGACCATCCATCCTGATGTTACATGGGTTCTCAGCTCACAAAGACATGTGGCTGTCAATAGTCAAGGTGGGACTCCATTTCTATCATGTTGCTACTTAGTGAGAATCGATGGTCCTGGGCTTGAGGGTGGTGTGGGGACCCAACGGTTGCATGCATGGGATGTGATGATTGCTGTAACGTGCTAGAAATACCCTCCTTAGCTCTGTGCTTGTTGCTTGTTGGATCCTTTTCATCCCTATGACATGCAGAGCTGCAGGGGAAGAGCAGTACGTACCTGCCTCCTCCATGAGAAGCGAGTCTTGGCCATGGTTTCTCATCATGACATCCTTGGTACATGAGCTGATTTATTCTGGTGCACGAGTAACCAGGGCTGCTGGGAGGAGAGCGACCTCCCCGCTCCCACCTGTGGTCACCAGTTTCCATCCCTGGGCTTTGCAGCAGTTCCCCTGCGCCATAACCGCCCCTGGTTTGTTTCTGCAGTTCCTGCCAAAGAACCTGCACTTGGTGTGTGTTGACATGCCCGGGCACGAGGGCACGACCCGCTCAGCCTTGGACGATTACTCCATTAGTGGGCAAGCTAAGAGAATACACCAGGTAATGCCCCAGTATTGCATCGCTTCTGCAGAGGGATGCAGGGACATGAGGGATGCTAAGCCCCATGGGCCCTGCCTCATGCAGCCCCGCTCCCTCCCTTCCCAGGCAGCCAGAGCCACCAACCTCAAGCTTTTCTGTTGAATTTCTCTAATGACCCCATGCGGTTGCTTCCTCTCCCCTAACAACGCTCCTTCTGCTCCCCTGCCAGTTCGTGGAGTGCATCAAGCTGAACAGAAAGCCGTTTCATCTGGTTGGCACTTCCATGGGGGGAAACGTTGCCGGCGTCTATGCTGCCCAGTACCCAGAAGACATTTGCAGCCTGACCCTCATCTGTCCTGCAGGTGGGCAATGCAGGGGATGTGAGATGGGGAGAGGGCAAGCAGGAGCTGGTGCAAAAGCCCAGAGCAGCGCTGGGAGCAAAATAGGCTTTTAGTGCAAAGCATTTTGAAATCATTTGTATGTACAGTCTGAAAATCTCTGGCAGGGCATGGGAGGAAATCACAGCCTTGTCCTGACTGCTCTTCTCCAAGGCTTTGGAGTTTGCCACGCTATGCTGTGGTTAGAGCTGGGACTAGGGCAAATGGGACAAGTCCTGCTCTGGAAGAAAATGCGTTTCCCCTTGGGGTGGCAGCTGTTTTATGTGGCACATCTGTAGCCTCTCGGTTCTGGAGGTGCAACCCAGGCAGCAATGGGAAAAGCCTCCCCAGCCTGGCTGCTTGAGACCCCCAGTGTGCCGGAGGGCTGGGGCTTCGGGAGCTGGAGAGCTCCGTCCTCCCACGTTTAGGTGCTCCCCTGTTTGGGTGCTCCAAGCAGGAAGAGCGCTTCGGGGATGGGTGCAGGTCAACAGGGTGTCTCTGTGCCCATGCAGCACCCCTCCATCTCCATTGTGCCCTTGGCTGGGGGGCTCGGTGGAGCCTGGGCATGACATGCGACAGGAGGCACGGGGGTTTGGCAGGGAGCTTCTCTGCCGGGGAGGGCTTTGCTGCATCCCGGTTGTTATAGCAGCTCCTTCCCCCTCCCACGCAAGGAAATTGGCTCCCAGATAAGCAATAAGTAATGAAGCAAAGCGACTGTTACCTAGCTACCAGGTTCTGGGGGCGGCAAAATTCCCCCTCCTCTCTGGGAGAGGTGTCGGCTGACTCTCCGGGTGTTTCTGGATGTGAAACCTCTGTGTGGTGGCTGCAGAGAGGTTTGGGGTTAAGCCGCTGGGGGATTTTTCCCCGTAGTGGTGCATGCGCATGGAGCTTCTGAAACTTTCTGTCCAACCCTCTTCTGTGGCAGGCTGGGCACGGGCACTAATATTTGCATCCGCTGTCCACATAAAAATAAACACTATAGCTTTTGCCGAAGCATTCATGCCTGTCTACAGGGAACACACCTCGTGTTGCGTCAGCCCACGGGGCTCGGTGGTGTCAAGCCCTGGAGCAGGAGGAGGCTGGGGTATCTCTGGGTACATATTAAGGCTGCTGTATGTACAGATTTTATTCTCCCCCTCTGCTTTTTTTTTTTTTTTTTAATGATTGAGCAAGCAGCAGGCCAGAGGCAGGGATGATGGAGGTCAATACAGCAATGCTCTGTCACTAGGCCTGTTGAGGTCTCATCCAGGTTTTAGCTTGTGCCCCCCTTCTCGTTCGACCCAGGCCTGCCGAGTACCACCGACAGCAAGTTCATTAAGCAGCTCCGGGAGCTGCAAGAGTCTGAACGCATCGACAGGATCCCTTTAATTCCCTCGACTCCCGAGGAGATGGCAGATATGCTGAAGCTTTGCTCCTACGTTCGCTTCAAGGTGCCACAGCAGGTGAGGAGCCTGGGCTGGCTGCGGCACCCAGGAAAGGGGGCCACAGATGGGGGGGGCAGGTTTGCTTCTCCCCAAGCCTGCGTGGCAGCAGCCGAGGCGATGCCGGGAGCGGAGGCAGTGCTGCTATCCCCCCATCACCCAGGCGGGACACCCCCGGCCCTGCTCCCAGCACCTTTCCAGCACTTTCCCTTCAAACCCACTTTTCCCAGCTCCCTCCGGCAGCGCCCGCTGAAATTCCTCCTCCCATGAGGTCTTTGGCAGCAGGCTGGCGTGTCAAACAGTTTTTTAGTAAATATGGCTGGCAGGAAGCATTAAAAAACTAAGGCGGCTGTTGTCCGGCCTGGAGGGGGATTGTTTGTTGCTATTTAAGCAAAAGCGATGGAAATGTTAATCACCTCATTGTCAGGCGAGAGGAACTTGGCAAGGGGCTCGCCATTAAGCTGGTTTTCCTTAGGAAGTCTGAGATGAGTAGATTGTAGAGTAAGAAAAAAATGTAAGGTAACGCCAAGACCTTTTTTTTGTTGGCAAAAGAATAAAAGAAAGAAGAAAAGCACAGTCATGGCTGAGGCGGCAGCAGGCCGTGGATAGCTGGCCTGGGGGAGAAATTCGGGTTTGCATCATAAAAGACAAAACCACTTGTTGCTGAAATACATGTTACTTAAGCATGGTTGCAACAGCCAGATGTGCTTAGGAAGGAGCTCGCGCTGGGGCCAGGCTGCGCAGGGCATGTTGGGGTGGCGGGGGCATGCTCCCGGCCCCCTGCCGCGCACGGGGTGATCTCCGGCACGCTCAGCCCTGTGTGGGGCACGGATCCCCCCCCAGCAGCTCTCCTCTGCTCTCCCTGCAGATCCTCCAGGGCCTTGTTGACGTTCGCATCCCACACAATGATTTTTACCGGAAACGTAAGTGTGCGGCGGCAGCCCCTCTAGCCAGGCTTTCCAGGCAGACCACTGGGGCATGGGGACAGGCTGTCCTCAGCCCCCGTGTCCCCTGCACGCCGCCTGACCCCAGCACCCCCCTGCTGCCTTGCTTGAGGGTGGGAGGGGGCAATGTGATTAAGAGATTTGGGGATGCACCTTGGTCGCTGGTAGCAACCCACTGCCACCCCCGTGGGCGGTGGGGTTGCTGCTTCGCCCTCACCCTCCCAGCTGGGTTAATTAGTATGTTTAGTAATATTAAGTTATAGTAATACCTATGAGGAGACAGGCTTGGAGGAGGATCTCTCTGTAGCGGGGCTTGGTGGCAGTGCAAGGACAGCCCATCGGGTCTCTCCCTATCACCCCTGCCTGGGGTTTCCCACCGAGGGGATGCTGGCAGGGCTGGCCCGCAGGGACCTCTGTGAGAAGAGAAGGCAAAGCATCCCTCTTGCATAGGACTGACTCTCTTCTTGCCCCCACTAGTGTTTTTAGAAATCGCGGGTGAAAAGTCCAGGCACTCTCTCCACGAGAACATGAGCAAGATCAAAGCACCAACGCAGGTCATCTGGGGAAAGCAGGACCAGGTACACGGCCCCCTCCACCTCCCCCGTGGGACCGTGCCTCCATCTCTGCCCGTGTCCACCCGCAGGAGCACGGCACGGGCTGTGCTGCCGAGCTGTGCGCTGCTCTGCAGCGAGCTGGCACACGTGTGTCCCCATCCCCGGTGGGTTTGGACACGGGGGCTTGGCGGCGTGATGGGTGGAAAGCTGCCAGCCAGCGCAGGGCCAGAGGGAGGAGAGGGCAGAGCTGGGCTGGGGAGGGCAAGGGGGTTGGGGGGGGGCAGGTGCCAGCGCCACAGCAGGCGTGGGCTGGGAAGAGGAATAAAGTGCCAGCAAAGAGAGTTGTCCTGGCAACTGGGGAGAAATGTGCTGTCTGTGGGCAGGCGGCGAGGCAGAGGCATGGGGCTTCCATCTCTTGTTCCATGTTTCTGTGTAGGGATGGTTATGGAGGGAGGAGCGGGGGTGGCGGGAGGAAGGAGGCAAGCTGCAGGCATGCGAAGGGCTGTGCAAATGCAAAGGTGCAAGCGTTTGCTTGCAATGCCCCCTTTGCACTGAGCTGGCAGCCAAAAAGCATCTAAGAGAGTTCCCTGCAGCATACTGAGACTGGCACCGTGCAGCCTCCCTGCCCTGTCCCCAGACGTGGGTACCACGTGATGGGGCTGCCATCACAAGGACCATGTCCGCATCCCTGCTCAGCATCTCACTTGGACTTGCGAAGGCAGCTCCAGTGGGGTTTCTACGGTGGCCAGCAAAACCTAGCTCTGCCCGTGGGAGTGACTATTTTTTCCCCTGCCATCCAGGTCCTGGATGTTTCTGGAGCCAGTGTTTTAGCGAGCGCTATCCCAGACTGCCACATGTACATCCTGGAGAACTGCGGGCACTCGGTGGTGGTGGAGCGGCCCCGCAAGACAGCCAACCTCATCCTGGAGTTCCTGGCACTGCTGCACAGCATGGACAACAAAAAGAAGCAGGCGTGAGCGTGGCGGGGAGCCGAATGCCCACGCCAGGTCTTTTAAATTGTAAAGTACTGCAGCTTTGATAAGTTCTCAGGGATCTTGTATGAATCGGCGGGGTGAATGTGCCAAAGTCCCTGAGGAAGGCGGAATGACTGATACCTAAACCTATAGCACCACCGGCAAAGCGACCTAGGGGTCATTGAGCAACCTCCATAGATACAGGAACGGAAGCAGAATCTCTCCCTTTTCTACTTAGAGGTAAAGTAGGAACGAGCCGAAATCACCAAGCGCTAGCCATGCAGCGTGCTGAAGCTCTTACGCAGCCGCCCATCTTACCCGAGTTACCGGCACGTAGTTGTTAATGACATTTACCTAAACTATATAAGAAACGTAGGAAGGAGGAAGCGTCCTGGACTGAGACTTACAATATTTCTACTACTTAGAGTCCGTCACGTTGCATGCTGCCGTGCTGTAAGAGAACCCCAGTGCTCCAGGCGTCTGCTCGAGTGCTCTTTGTGTAGCTCCTTAACTCGTGATTTATGCAGAAAACAACAGAAAACTTCATGCGTGGAAGTCCAATGACTGTATGTGCAAAAATGTTTACACTTTGAGTGGGTTTTTTTAAATCCCCGAACAGCTCTTGCGTATATGTAATGCCTTAACATTGCCCAGGGTACAGCGCCCATGCGCAGCCCGCCTCGCCCAGGGGATGGTTCCCCCTGAGGGTGAACATAGCAAGTGAAAACTCGGGGTGCAGGCAGCAGCTTTGCCACCGTTGTGCGAACTGGAGGGATAGAAAACTCCCAGAGTGATTCAGTCCCTGAGCCCGAGTCAGCAATAAGCCCGTGGGCAGGGTGCGAGTCAGCAAACTCGGGCAAACTCTTGTCTCAGCTCTTCTATCACGTCGTGCTGCTGAACTCATTGATGTAAATAACAATTTTCTTATTGAATTCCATGAATTCTGTGAATGCCGACGTCACCGAAACCAGGCGTGAGGGGTGGGAGTGGGCTGTGTATGCGAATAGCGCGGGGGTGCGGGCTCCTGAGCTCGCTGGGCGTCGAGGAGGGGGACAGCTCGCCTGTGAGGCGCTGAGTGGTGGCGTGGAAACATACAGTGTGCTTGTGCGCCCTCTTGATGGTTTATAGCTCCTGACTGAGTGAAATTATAGATAGAAATGGGCAATGCAGACAAGCTACGCTTTGCAGCCTGCAAGGTGATGTATGGGGGCAGATCCTGCACCTCCCTGGGTGCAGTCCCTCGCCACGTGTCCCAGGGCGAGAGGGCTGGTCCTGGTCTCAGCAGGACGAATGGCTGCTGGAGGGCAAGGCGGTGCGTGGTCCTCTCGAAGGCAAAGCAGCAGGCAGCCGTCACCCCTCAGTCACCCCCAGCCCTCCTCGGGGGTTGACACCGGGTGCTGCTAGAGCCCTCCTGCAGACCAGGTACGCACGCTTGCAGGGCTGACAGCCATCTTCTTGCTGTCTTTCTGAGGTACCCCAATCTGTACATATATCTGAAACTCCCCGTCAGCTTCTCTGCTCTTTTCGAGAGAAGAAACATTGTTCTTTTAGAAAATTAGAAATTTGCTGTTAATGGCTTGGTTATTGTTTCTACTACAGGAGTTGACTAAAAAAAATAAATTGCTGATAGTTTTATGTGGTAAAAGCCAGAAGAAGTTGTTAGGTATCTATATGGTTTCTCGTATGCCACAGATTGCTGTATGCAGAGGGTTTATATGGCTATTAAAATCTAGTGATTTAAGGAGTCCGCCATGCGATGATAATTTTTTCCTTTGGGAATGGAAGGGGCTGTAGTGTGGGATGGTGCACAGCACAGGGGACTTGCTCTGCTTCTTCTTTCCTCCCCGCATTTCTGGGAGATGCAGGTTTTGCCTCGAGACTACTTAATTAGTGTCAAGAAAGATGGTGAAGACCGGGAAGGCTCGTGTCTCATCTCTTTAGTGATTTAAGGAGTCCGCCATGTGATGATAATTTTTTCCTTTGGGAATGGAAGGGGCTGTAGTGTGGGATGGTGCACAGCACAGGGGACTTGCTCTGCTTCTTCTTTCCTCCCCGCATTTCTGGGAGATGCAGGTTTTGCCTCGAGGACTACTTAATAGTGTCAAGAAAGATGGTGAAGACCGGGAAGGCTCGTGTCTCATCTCTTCAAAGACAACAGGAGTTTTGCTTTTTTTCTTTTTATTAAGAGGAGGTGGCCCTAAACACTCAAGAAGCAAAATAAAACCTCAAGGGGCAGGGGAGTTAGGTTTTAAGCACAAAGATTCCTCTTAAAAATCTTGAAAGCGTGTTAAATACCAATTTCAGCTGTAATTACAAGTCTTACTGAATTCATAGTGTGCTGGGAACAGCATTACATCAATAATCCAGGCAAAAGTATTTGCATTTCTGCTTTCCCCAGGAGGCTGCTTTGTGTGACAGAAGAGCTGCAGGGAAGGCTGGGGAGCATCCTCCTGGCACCTTGTCCCCCTGCCCGGGCCCTGCTGCGGCACCCTGGCTGCACTGTAATGCAAAGGTCGAGGTGAGGGTGGCTGTGGGAAACCTAATAATTACTGCAGCGCAGGGGGCCTCTCACTTCTGGGCAGGGGCTGGGATGGCTCAGGGCGTCTGCGTCACGCGTTGCAGCCTCTCATGGTTCGGTAACAAAAATCCCAGGTGTATTTGGGAGGGGGTGTCTGGCTGTTGGCCCTGCTCGCCCCATCTGCATGGTCGAGGGCGGCTGCCACTCGCTCCTGCATGCTCCGGCTGTGCCCGTGCAGAAGCCGGCCCCATAGCAGCAGCTGAGCCCACTGAAGAGAGGCAGTGAGGGAAGCTGCCTGCACCTGGAAACGCACCTGAAAGCACACCCAATAACACTGGTCGCTATTCCCACTAACCCTCATTTCCAGCTGGGAGCCAGAAAAGCCCCACACCATGGCCCCGTGGCCCTGGCTGCAGGGCAAGGGCTGCTCTCATGTTTTCAGCTGCTGCCCCCTTGGCACTGACCCCCCCCCCCTA